AATCTGCCTCCAAAGTGATCTTATGTATATCGGTGGGTTGGGGGGGGGGGGGGGGGGTAAAAACCTGCCTTTATTTATTTATTTATTTATTTATGTATTTATTTATTTATTTATTTATTTATTTATTTATTTAGTAAGCTTTTTACGGCACTTGCAACACATTTAGGTGATATAAGTGACGAAGTTTATAAGTACTACAAGGGAGTCACAAACACAAAAAGAAGGAAGAGAGGTAAGAACTATAGACGTTTGATAAAAGGGAAAGAGCAATTTTTTAAAAACCACCCCAGAGCACCCACCAACCACTCATATTTAATTGTTTATTTATTTATTTAATTAATTAATTGATTAATTAATTAATTAATTTATCTTGTTTGTTTGTTTGTGTTTGTTTGTTTATTTATTTATCTATTTTATTGATTGTTGACTGTTCCATAGTCACGGGTTCTGTTTCTGTAACAAGTCAATGAATAAAGGGTTAAACCTAATCGGCGGTCGTCGGAAGTTTGCGCCGTTTTTTTCTGTTGGTATCGATTCGCTTTTAATATGTTTGATGAGAATCGAGCTGCTCGTTCTTATACCAAAGATAGTACATATTATATACATGTACTATCTTTGCTTATACTGAGCGTCTTCGTATCGAATAAGATCTTTTTTAGTGTGCGTTAGACATATTCTTCCGTTCCCCAAGTATCAGGACTGTTTGTTACTGTTTCGTTTTTCTGTTTCATTTTGTCACTAATGTCATAACAATTTATAAACGTAAAAGAGAAAAACAAATATTGTAATAGGAGACAGTTTTGGTACTTTTTGCTCCTCGCCAAGTAAATTGTTTGTGTCGTCATTGGGTCCAAGTGAACAAAATTTACTCATTCTTAATCAGTCAGACCCCGAAGGTGGGCGGTTGGCGGGTACTCTGGCATGGTTTGCTCCTTTTGCTATCAAACATCAATCGTCCTTATCTCCCCTCCCTCTTTTTTTGTAGTACTTGTTACTCTCTTGTAGCACGTCTAATCTTTTGCACTTATACGACCTTACCTTATTGTGTTGCAAGTGCCGTAAAACTCTTACTAAAAGTAAACACCTGGAAGGCTTGCAAAATACCATCATCATCGATACCATCAATAAAACACGGCACAAAATTCTTAGGACGATAGAATATGCCTGATTAGAAAGAAGGAGCAAACCACTCCGGAGGGCCTGCCTACCACCGTGGTGTGGTTTAACTCCGTCTTTCCTATCAGGCATATATCGCCCTAATCTCTAGTCTTTCTTTTGTGTTTTTGTTATTCTCTTGTAATCCGCGGCGCTTATATGACCGTAAACTCTAAAGCTAATACCAAAACTAAACAGTCGTTCCTGATCTCACAGCCAAGTGTTTAAGCCAGTCGCCCACACAACAACAGCCACTTTCCATTTCCTCCCTTTCGTACTATCTACATAATTATAATTGCACCGTGTAAAGGTCACCTGTCTAAGGCGGTCACTTTTCTCTGCGACAGTGGACGGCCGTCTTAGACAATGTTGACTGCATTTACTTCCTTGTGTGTACCCAGTAAGGGTGGTTGGCTGGCGGGTGCCCCGGCGTGATTTACTTCTACTTTCCTATCAAACATCTGTCGTCTTAATCTCTCCTCCTTCTTTTCTTTGTTCACGCTACTCTCTAATAACCCGACTAATCTTCGGCACTGACATGACGTTTTTTGTTTGTATATATGAGTATGTATTTAAGCATGTTTGTGTTGTTACCGGCGTCTGTGGTGTGTTGCCTATGCGCTTCACCCTCGCACGTAGGAGACCCGAGTTCGATTACTGTGTGAGGAGTGGAGAGAATTTTTATCGAGTATCCCCTGTCCTTCTACTGGGACGTTGTTTCTCTACCAGCCCGTGTTGGCCCGGACAGGCAGGGTCGAAATCTGCCTCCAAAGTGATCTTATGTATATCGGTGGGTTGGGGGGG